TGTGTGCGGGCGCATGTTTGTGTTTGTGTGTGTCTGTGATATGGGACTGTTTCCATTTGAAGACCCCAAGTGAGGTAGAGGCAGTCCAGTTGTGTGAACAGCATGACGTTAACCTTGATGAGGTGAGGCAAAGGCTAATCCAACAACATCCTGAAGATCCTAATATTGTAACTGAGAGAGGAGGAGTTTGGCGTATCAAGGGCAAAGTCAGGGTGAGAAAGTCGTTATTATTTACCCCTCCTACACCTTCTCCCCCTGCCCCCCCCCCCTCCCCTTTCCTTCTCCTGCTGCTACTGTTGCTGTTGCTGTGTTCTTCTGTTTTTCATTTTCTATTAAAGAAAAAAAGGCGACGACCTTGAGATATGATCGTTGAGCTGACCAGCCCCCGGTAATTCAGGGCTAACTTATTCTGTTCATCTGGTTGCATATGGATTCAAACTTGGGTACTTGGGTCTGTATTTCAACAGTTGCGGTGTACCAACTGAGCTGGGCCCGTTGATACCTTCTTCTGCTGCTACTGTTGCTGTTGCTGTGTTCTTCTTTTTGTCCTTTTTTATTATAAAAAAAAAAGGCGACGGCCTTGAGATATGATAGTTGAGCTGACTAGCCCCAGGTAATTCAGGGCTAACTTATTCTGTTCATCTGGTTGCATATGGATTCAAACTTGGGTCTGCAATTTCAACAGTTCAGCGGTGTACCAACTGAGCTGGGCCCATTGATACCTTCTTCTTTTTACTCTCTCCTTCTCCGTTGCAATAACCCATGCCATATGCCTCGTGGAACTGAGGGTCATCAGAAGGCCTACTTGGCTGCCCTCAGCCCAGGCCGAACCAGGGCAGAAAAGGCCCTTCACGAATTCAGGACCGGGCGTGTGACAGTTGACTTTGGTCAACTGTCGGTCCACCCAACAGTCAAAGTCCAAAGGTACCTAGCCCAGGCCGCAGGTCAAGCACACACACGTGTTTGTCCGCAGGTACCCAGACAGCATCAGGTCCAAGGGAGAAGTCTGCAACTGTACAATCCGGGCCTTCAGCTGTGAGTCAATCTGGACGACTGAGGGGAAATGCACCGAGGCCAGACAGCCTCGCTGACTACTACTTAAGGCTGGCCTCAAGGAAGTCAAGGCATTCAGTCTTGCTATGCTGCTTTGACACTGGCTCGACTTTGACTAGACGCTGGCTACATGCTGGCTGTGCACAGGCGCTGCGGGCGACAGCACGGGGTGGAGGCAGCATGCTGACGCTTTCTTAGTGCGCCAGGATATGCTGACGTGGCATGCTGACGTGGTGCTGCCTTTGGTATATGTGGCGCTGCCTCTGGTCTACGTGGCATGCTGACGTGGCGCTGCCTCTGGTCTATGTGGCATGCTGACGTGGCGTCGCCTCTGGTCTACGTGGCGCTGCAACTGGTCTACATTGATGATGTGGCGAATGTCACCTGTTTCGATTGTTGATGTGGCATTGTCCACGCTGTCTACATGAGGTGACTGGTTGCCAGGAGGAGGAAGATCTGGATTTGTGGATGTAGAGAATCGGGTACTCACCTGCGGTTGACATCGTCACTGGAAATCTGCTGTGTCTTCGGAGTCTTCATGAGATAAAGTGCCACATGGCACTATTGAGCGTGATCAAGGAGATACTTGTTATCATTGATGATGTGGTGTGGAAAGAAGCCCGGAGAAGGAGAGGGATCTGAAGGGTTTATTATTGTGTGATCTCTCTTCCTCTCCTTTGTCTATTCTCCCTCCACTCTCTTCTCTTTTTGATAATGAGTTACTGTTTGAGATATCACTTCACGATCTGGAGACTTTCGTGCAGATACTGAAAATACGGTAGATTGACGACTACTGAGTATCTAATAGACTGGGTTCATTGCAATTTGGTATCGGAGCAAACTTCTTCATCGCGATCTGTTGACTGTTGACAGGTGCTGACATGGCACCCAGGTAAGTGGGAGGTGCCGCATTTGCAAAACGAAACGCATTTATTAACGCGCGCGGTCATACCACAAGTCTAGACATTGTAGTAATGCACCTGCGAGCAGCCGTCGCTTGAAGATGATGACGTAGCTGCATTGAAGATTTCAAGATACCAGCAAGAGCTTCGTTGGCAAGGTGCTCACGTGGAGCTGGTACAGACAGAGAGACCGGTACCGCTGATGAGGCACATTGTTTATGTGGCATTTTATTGATGTGCTGAGACGGTTCGCCAGTGTTGAGAGTGTGATATGTTTGTGCTGCTGACGTGGCATCCCCACTTGTAGACCTACCAGGTCCTTGATGTGCTGACGCGGCAGATTAGTTGTTGTGTTGGCATGCCAGGGGTGACACGTGGCATGCAAAGACTGCTCTGAGGGTTGCATTGCTTCTGCAGATGGTATAGTAGGAGCTAACCATTGATTGTATTGCTATGCTGGCTTTCTACTTACCTATTGTTTGTCTATGGTTGCCGTGTGTACTCACAAGTGTGTTGTTGTCTTGATCACACTTGTCGTGGCTGCGGTACCTGTACCTGTAATTGTAGGACGTCATCACACAGAAAACAGACAACAAAGTTAGGATAGAAAGATCGATTGATAACTCATTCCTTTCGTTGATTATTCTTGCTGTAAAAGTTGTGTGTGCTGTGAAATTTATTTCTGTCTTTTGATTTTATTTATTGTGCGGCAAATATACGTGGGGGAAAATGAACTCTCTCTGGAAATGTCTGTGTGCCTCCATCCTGACGTGGTTTATTCCACTTCTCTTCTTTCCCATCCCTCTCATAGTCTACGCTGATGAAGAAGTAGGGGACCTCAAGACGCGTGGACGGATTGATGCAAGAAGGCAAACATTACAAGCCTTCTTCGACAACTACTTGGTGAGATACATGGTGTCGGACCAGCAGTTGAACAACATGTTTACGAACAGTTCAACCTGCAAGCAGCAGAGGATGAACTTCAGGCCGCAAAAACTGGTGTTCAGATGCTGGAAACCGGGCAGCGAGTCGAGGAACTCATTAAACAAGGGCGTATGGCTCTTGACCGGTATGTCGCCGAGCAGTTGGAAGGAATGAGCCGAAAAGGAAAGGAAGAAGAGACGAAAGAAGAAAAGAAAGTGGAACCGCAACTGTCTGTGAAACTAATGGAGGAGAATGTCAAACAATTACAAAATACCTTAAGGGAAGAAAGAAGAAGAATTGAAGAGTTCGTAAGAAAGAAAGAAGAAATGTTGGAGGAAATGAGGGAATGGTTTCACTTCGAGGAAGTTGAGACTGACCTGCCATCCGTATTGCAATCTATTATGGCTTATCTTGTTCATCTTGAAAAGAAAATAGACTCTAACACTGTCTCATTAGAAAGTATGATGAGAATGATGAAAGGAAAGGACAAGGTGGGCTCTGAGGAGGAGGAGAAGGGGGAAATAGAAAAGAAACCACCCCAGGAGAAACTTATGAAAGATGCAATGCGGAAGGAGGACAAACCCGGACCCTCTAAGAAAGAGTCTGAGGAATCGGCAGGAAAGAAAGAAGAACCGGCCAAGAAGAAAGAAGAACCGGTCGACAAGAAAGAAGAATCGGCTAAGAAGGAAGAACCGGTTAAGGAAGCGAAGAAGCCGAAAAAGAAAGAAAAGGTTAAGATGAAATTGTCGTTTACCTTCAGTAACAAAAAGGAAGAAAATCTGTTGTTGTGGATTGTCGAGGTACAGACTTATTGTAGTACCGCACTTGTCGAGCTCGAGAGCCAAGTTGCTTTCTCCACGTCTTGTCTGGGAGGAATGGCCAAGGAATGGGTGTTGGACGAAGCCAATGCTGTTGGATTTGAGGATATAGGTGAGTGGGCAAAGACCCTGACGTTGAGACAATTTCTCGAAAAGATTAAGGAGAGATTTCTCGACAAGACGACAGTCGATAAAGCTTTCGACGAGCTCACCACCATTGGCCAGAAGCATTGGTCTTCAGTTGATTCACTGTCGCGTGAAGTTGATCGTCTGTTGCAGGTACCTGGACTGAACCTTTAGGACAACCAGGTCCTTTATATCTACTCACGTGCTTTACCCATGCCTATTCGTGGACAACTTGTGGCAGAATCGAAGTCTGGGAAGTATAACTATCGGCAGTTTCGCGATCTCGCTCTCCAACGAAAGCAAATGACTGCGCAGGTAAAAGAGTCTTACACTTCGGTGGTTAAGTCGGGACCGGTAGGTGGTTATGGCAAACGGGTCCTTTGGTGGCAAAAGCGCCAGGACCATATGCTTGTGCTATGTGATGATGAGACTGTAGAGAAGTTACCTCTGGAAGAGTCCGAGGGAGGAGGAGGTAACGACAGATATGAGTCCGGGAAGGGTGACGTCACTGTTGTCATGGCCAACAAGGGAGGCCAGTACTAGTGGAAGAAGCAGAAGAGGCCACGCTCGTTTCCCGAGCACCCCGACGTTGCGTTCGGAAGGCCTTGGGAAAAGATGAATATGACCCGAGAGGAATGATAGTCCAAAATGGACAATCGCCAGTGCCTCAAGTGTGGCACCATGGGGCACGTGATAGCCTAGTGCCCGCTTATTCATAACCCAAAAACGATCAGCCAGTAGGAGTAACATCTGCTCCTACTGAGTTGAAGGGATTAGACAAAGACAAAGGAAAGGCGCCTATAACCCCTTCTATCCTTTCGACTCTCAAGGAAGAGGATGACTCTTCTTCTGCTTGTCGTCCAAACCACCCTGACATAGTACTATGTCCAGTCTCACTGGACGATTCCCTTGACGAGCTCAACAATAAACTGATAGCACTATAGAGCTTGTGGGCGCAAAAAGCGAAGTCTAAGGGTGAGTTGATGATCGCGGATATTGAGATTGCGCACACACGAGTAGGTGCCTTGTTAGATCCGGGATCGACACGGTCTTATATCTCAGAGAAGGCAATTCGTAAGTTGCATCTGGGAATGAAGGTAAAAGATTTACCTAGACCTATTACGTTTATACTGATTGACAAGAGCACGATCACTGTCTCTCAATACGTCGATCGTGTCAAGTGTTATTTTAGGACAAAGGAAGGTAAGAAGATTCTACACGAGATATCCTTCCTAATTGAGAAGAATTTACCCTTTGACTTAATTTTGGGTATGGATTGGCATGAGGAAGCTGACCCAGAAGTTAAGTTCAAAGATAAAATTGTCGAACTCAAGGACGAAAAGTCCGAATTGTGTGCGATAAAGTTGTATCATAAGTCTGACTTTGACT